CATTACAATAATCCTAATTTAATGAAGTGTTTACATTTGAATTTATGCAAGTTCAATTTCAGACCTTTCAAAACCTTTTAAAATGTTTTTTAACCAAAATTACCTATCAAAAAGAAGTATAAAAATTAATGTGACGAGTATTTTAACTTTATCTCCTTCTGTATTTAGTAAGTAGGTTACTAACAAAGTTTTTTTCCCTGTATTGAGATACTTCAAATATTAGAAATACAAATCAGCCTTGCTACACACTTCCCTATGATGAGCCAGTAACCTAGCAACAATGTTTTTATTTTAAACACACAAAACCAGTTTGATGAGCATAATCCTCCAGCTGATTGCTGGAGAAATACAATACGGAACACATAAGTCATGAGTATACTATACACCATGTTTCTCATTAACAACTCACAAAATGTACAGACGCCTCATTGTCTTTGTTCGATACAACACTATCAATTTGGTTTTTCGGGCAGAATGTGCCAGATGTCACAGATGCACAATAAAATTTATTTAACAACCATAGAAAACATCTTAGCATATTTGTGGAGTAAAAATACCTGAACTTATTTGACTACATGCCATGCTGCATGCAACAAGGAAGTGTAGTAATTTACAGCGTAGTCAAAAGTGTCATTGTGACAACACTCAATTCAATCGAGCAAATTATAGAGCTGGAGAAGAGTCACTGAAACCGAATAGTCTGATCTTGTATTGGGACGATTGCAGATACACCAATCAGAATTTTGTGGCTGATATCCAATATCCTATTTTTGTTGATACTGACTTTATTTCATTTTTGACCTATTTCCTATATCAAGGTTCTTTGTTGCAAATTTAGATAGGGCAATGATCAATGAGTGTTGCTGGAAACACAAGTTAACCATCCTATGGCTCAAATATTTCTAAAAATAGCCAAACTGTGATGCTGTCAGTCAGTCAATTGTGTAGAACCAGTGGCTGTAAAAAGGGCACTTTGTAGGCATTGTCTGTGTCAGTAGTGGTAAAATATCTGTTTTAATCCCTTCAAAACTCTCTGTGTTAAACTTGACTGTATGAGAAGTTCTTTATAAAATCCCGAAAATAGCCAATGCTGAATGTTTTTCACTCAGTAGCAAAGTCCACATTTAAGGATGTTGCTATGTGAATTTCGTTTGGTGTATTGATTGACTGGACAAAGTCAATCACCATTATCCACTCAAGTCAGGCCAAGATGAAATTGACCGATTCCGGTCATTACCCAATTTCTCTGTGCATCTCCAGTGTTTGAACTCACTGGAACATCACTAAGAGCATACCTGTCACTTCCTTGAGTTTTATGATCGCAGGCTCCTCCAGCTCCTTGATCTGCTCCTTCACCATGGCTTCAAACGTCTTGTAGTTGATGAAGCCTGGGAGCTCTTTCCCGCGGTACTTGCGTTCATACTGAGCCACCTCCTTCTGAATATTCCAGTTGACTGCAAGAAAATCCAAAGTAAAATCACATCATGTAGTACCTGGAGCTCTACAATCAGAAAACAAAAGACCAGATTATCATTTAGAGACATTTTAATAGCTTGTGAATCACTTACACGTTGTTCCGGAGTTATCAATAATTGTTTTCCAAACAGCAAACTGTTGTCTGAGTATGGAGAAGATCTTGGACTTGTATCCACATTTTATGTCCTCCCCTTTGCTGAGGTAAATGGCATCCTGTGTGAATGCCGTCACCCTCTAAGATAAAACGATGGAATGAAAAAACTCAGATTTTGTAACACTTTTACTTCCAACATGTAAAAACTGACAGCCAGCCATTAAACTTACATCGATAAGGAAACCAAGTCTCTCAGTGCAATCAGATGGTGGTCCACAGCCCAACTTGTCCAACTTTGCCTGAGTCTCCTTCAGTTTAGTCTCCATCTGCTTTTCCAGTTCAGGTAGAGATCTCTGTAGATACGATTGGATGAGTTAAAATACCTAAATTCATTCAAAAGTAGCTATTTAACTTATTATGAGAGAAATATTGACCTGGATGTGATTCACAAGCTCCAGTGTGAGTTTCTCTGCTAGTTTAGGGACGGTGGCCAGACCGTCATATAACAGAGTCCTTCAGGACATATAAGAAAAGCAATGCTTTACATATTATTCTGCAGCCTAAATCAAGTTGTAAAATTCTCAAAATAATTACACTTACTGGAAATGTGAATGGTCATTAAAGAAGGTGTTCTCTCTCTCGATTGCTTCAGCAAGAGACAGATTATCTAAAATCTCCTGCTGGCCCCTGCATTTGACAATCATGTAGCCCTTCTTCAGAGGGACGACTTTATTGCGGACTGTTTTCACCACCATGTCCTCTGTGCCTTTGTCCACCAAGTCAGGCTTAGTCAGGATACCTGAGCGACAAGGGAATACTTAGACGCTGAGGGTTTTTTATGAGCTGTTAGGAGATGTTGTAAAATGATTTCTTTTTACCCAGAGTCCTCTCTCCAAACGGATCAACCTGCTTAGCCATTTGTAAAGCTTCTGTGGTCGCTATGTCCACATTGGATGGAACCACCACCAGACTGATGGTTTCTTGTTTTTTGATGTACATCTCGATGAGTCCCTTTATCTGAAATTTTCAGTCGAAATATTTTAAATGTGCTAAATGGTGACTACATGATAACAAATGTGATAAATTATTTGTATACAGAAACGTATACACTGCCAAACATCTAAATCCTTTTCACCCTATAAACACCGCCCCTGAGGAAATGTAAAAGATGCTGACCTGATCACCGATTCTCTCGTGCTGTCCATTCACAGCCACCCTGGCGATGCCAGGAAGATCGATGAGAGTCAGGTCAGGAACATTCGGGGAGCCAATTTCCAGAGAAATGAGTTCCTCGCTGATCCCATTTCCCTTTCCAGCCATTTTATTCTGTGCTGGTGAGCAAGAAAATAGGTGGATGTTCTCGTAAGTAAACCCAACAAGATCTCAGGACCTCATTTTCAGCAATGAACTTCTGAACAACAAAAGTATTGTACCTATTCTGATTTTTTTATCCACAGTTGCAGGATCATTTATCTCCTCCATATGATCTTGGTAACTAATCTTTCCATACCAATCCTGGCCTTCTTTCCTTTTCTTCATTTTCAGCTCGAGAGGACATCTTGTAACAATGCCTGGATCAGCGATGAGTCAACGACAAAAGAAAGGCAACATATTAATTGTAAATCAGAGTGCTGTTCTTTTCTCTGTGTGTGAGCCAAATGAAGAAGAGTGTTTGACTATAATATGAGAAAGCTGTCATAATTATGAGATGTTTTTCATCGAAGTGGTAAAATGGTCTTCAAATAGGCTTTCAAATTTACTGATTTATTTATTTTTACGTAAACACAACTTGTGAAACTGATCATAGTTGGACAGACAGACTACCTCATGGCCAAGGACAATGGGGGCTACTCAGTTTGAAATGGTCAAAAAATACAAATAAAAGATATATATATATATATATATATATATATATATATATATATATATATATATATATATGAGCAACGGTTTCAAAGTATAAAATTAATTAATGAGCCATATTTTGCCACCTGAGTTTCTTAATGTTATTATTTCCACAGAATGTGTCTGTGAGCGCCTTTTACCCACCGCTTCCTCTTGGCAGAGCCACCCCAGACAGCGCCTCCAGCACCGAACTCTTCCCAGAGCTCTGGTCCCCTATCACGGCTATGGCAGGCAGCGCCAGGTCCTTCTCCACTCCCAGTGAGCGGAGGGAGTCGATCAGGTCGATGCAGGGACGCACCTTCTCCTCGTACTGCTGGTTCAGAGAATTCATTATGTGCGCGTCTGTCTTCTTGAAATGTAGAGAGAGTCGCGATGGGGACAGTGTTGCTTGTTGGCTGGTAAAAAACACTCTGCCCGTATAACAGGAAAAGAAGCAGCAGCTATAAGGTAGGTTTCTATTTCCTAGGTACGTTTCGTTTAGGTGCAGGTTTCGTTTGGTGATACGTTGTTGCAGGGTTTTAAAGCCAGAAGACCAAGTGAATTTTACTCACTGTTGTTAATGTAGTGCAGACTTGACATGATTTATCTGGTTTCAGTTTTATGTTGCAGACTGAATCCTTAAAAATAAATAAATAAATAAATAAAATATTAGCGCCCTGCAGCTTGGGTATTGTTTCTTACTTCATATTTTGCATTGTTAGAAAATATTTACAAGTATTTCTGATAGGAAATTGTACCTCAAAAGAAAACAACATAAAAGAAGATAACTTTTTTTTAAAAGTGTCTATTGATATTTTAATACCGTTTCGAGTTTTATTTTTTAAACCCTTCTCAAATTGTCAATGGAGAAATCTTTCAATCAATCAGACCTTTTTCCTGATGGTAGTTTTGCATGATTTCATATTATTTACGATTAACCAACACTGACTCGTACTCCACCCATCTCCACCTGTTATGCGATCGTCCATGCAGATGGACAAATAAGTTAACGTTATTTTTTGCAACCCATATTGTAGATCTTCCCAAATATTGCATGTAAGTAGACCTGATTACCGATTCTCTGATGATTGTTTCAATATATTGTAAAGTGGGTTTTATGGAAGGCAAAGCTGACCATAATTCATACAAGAACCACCACTACTGTTCATGATGTATGTTTCACTATATCAGTCAGCTGACTGATTGACTTACTCTTCACATAGTGCTGATTTTTGTTTCTACGTCACGCTGATTTACTTCGTCTCAGCAGCTTTTGTGCATGTGTGGATGGCCCCACCTGCTGGTCACACACAAAATTGTCACAATTTTTCTGCTTTTTTAAACTTTGGAATTTATTTATTTATTTATTTATTACTTCGTTTTCCACTTATTGTATTCGTTTTGCACTATGAGTGTTAATAAATTTTTGGTCCAATTAGCATAGACTGAACTCCAGGAGAAACACAAGTTATTTCAGTTAATACCGAGGCCGGAGGCTAAGCTAACAACTTCTTCTGAACAGAGACACAAAGATGAGCCACAGAACAAATTTGTCCATCTTTATTAGTGAGTCATGGGCTTGTGCACGTTAGATATGAGTGGAAAACTGTGTATAGACTTTTCGACACCACTGCAAGTCACATGCTCAGACGGTCAAAACACAGGGCTGGAAATATCATAGTAAATGAACAGGAAGCCAAGCATTCCATTCAATGGTCATGATTTTACAACACTTGAACAGAACAGATGTTGTTTGTACAAAACTTCATAGTGTCATATTTTTTCTGGCCATAACTATGGCATTTAGGTGCTTTTTGCAGGGTTTTCATCGTGTGTATGAACAGTGTGAAAATGCTTTTGAAATGTGTGTTTTAAGTAAAAAGGAGGAAAGTTGTCAAGGTAACTTGTATGAAGAGTGGCTTCTATAGTTTGCATCTGAAAAATATTCTTAAAACTGCATGGTAGCATCTGTGCAGGAGAAAATAAACATCAGAACTCAGCGCACACGGCAGAAGTTGCATATATTTTAGGTTTCTTATACAAACGTATTTTTTGTGGAGGATTTTACAGAATGGATTTGTTACTTGTGATTTTATTTTTTTTTACTTATTGGCATTATCAGACAAAAAGTCAAAGAGTTGCAGCTGTAAAATAATAATAATTAAAAAAAAACAAAGCAAGAAAAAAAATACCTGAATTATGAATATTATTGGAATTAGAAACACCTGTTATCAAAATATATTCGTCATTATAAGAAAAAACATGACTGAATACCTGATTAGCTGTCAGTGATGTGTCAGAGCAGAGTATGTTTTGTAAACTTTCACACTTAGAATGCATGTTTTATCTTTTTTGTTGTTGTTTTTTCCTGGATTCACAGAGACCTCACTAGCACACAACGTCATGCACTTTAAAACTTTTACAAAGAGCGCTTTTCCCTCCGACACAGAGTGCAAACAAACTACTAGAACAGAGATGGCCAGTCAAAAACGGAACAAGTCGATAATCGAGCACGGAGAAACTGTTATGCGTTTCGAACTACTAGAAGGACAATATTCAGCTAAAACAACTTTTGAAAGAGAAAGGGTGAGGGACTACGTCTAATGTTTTGTTCTACGATACCCAACTAGACTTTTATTTTTTATTTTTCATCTACAACAGGTGCACTCTGACTCCGTCATAAGACGGAAGGACTTCCGACAAGGAAGTCCCTCCGTCTTTCTTTTTTTTTTTTTTTTTGAAGAAAGGCTGACTGCCTTTCTTCAAACAAAGGCAGTCAGCCTAGCCCCCTGACTGCCTTTGTTTGAAGATGCCGAAAGACAAGTCGCGGCTACATCTGATTGGAGTAGGAGGTGGGCCCTCCCACCTGGCTGTACTCGGATGGCTGGTCGAAGCTCCCCTGGGTGTTGTAGCTTCCCGACTGGTTAAAGCCGCCCTGGTTGTAGGGCTGCTGGTCGAAGGTGCCGGCCTGTTTGTCGGGCGCACTGCCCGCCAACCTGGAGCCACCCTTGTGCCAGCTGGTCTCCTTGAAGACAAACCAGATGTTTCCAGCCCACAGAACAAAATTGAGAAATCCAAACACCTGAGGGGGGAAAAAAGGGAGAATTATACTTGGGCAATCATGAACCTTGAATCGTAAACCCTGATCTCTCCCTCCCCCCCAAACTATGAGCAAGCTTTATTGTAGAAATAGATGACAAATAAATCAACTATTTGAGTTTTTTATCACTTGTAAAACTAAAAATTTGGTCTACATGATACAATGCTCGTGCATTCTGAAAGAATGTGTTAATGAACATGAAAGTTTGGTCAAGAGGAGTGATTCAGTCAGTCTGAAAGACATTTTAATAAAATAGCTCACCTTTTATTCTGATATTGACAGAACTGAATCTGAAGCCTTAACTCTAAGAGAAAAAAAATCTTGTTTCCTTTCTTGTTTCCCAGCTTAACAGCAGACATGGTTTGTAAGCTTACCACCGAGGTGTTGAGCCCAGACCACCGAGGCCCGTGCAAAGAGCCGCACTTGTTAGTCGGGTCTTTGCAGGCTGGGATGAGAAGCTGCACCTCGTCCGGATCGGTGGCCACCTTCACATCGGACAGGGCCTTGGCCCAAGCAGAGGAGCTGACCAGCCACATGAAGGAAAACACCACTGTCACCACAAAGTCCTGAGGGAAGCAAAGAAGTACTCAGCTTCAACAGATTCACAGAATAAAAATAACTTTTTTCTTTTTTTTTTATTTGTCAGGAAAAATGTATTTTCAATAGTGCTTTGTGTTCATTTATAAGAACAGCTGACGTAAAATGTGAAGGAATAACGAGTATGAGTTTATCATACTCACAATGAGCGGTCTTTGGCTGTTTTCGCGGTACTTATTCAGGAAGAAAACGTACACAACAGAGGCCACCAGAGAATACAGGAAGGAGAAAACGGCAATGGTGACGAAGAACTCCGCAGAGGAAGAATAATCTCCGGTGAGGAACACACGCTCCGTCCTCATGGCCTCACACATGGGCGCTTCAAACGACACTTGGTGCAACCTGCCACACACAAAGAGATTTTGTACTTTGCTACCACACATGATTATTAAAATTCTCCGTCTTGGCTCTCAGACAAGTATTGCGACTCTAAACAACGAAGAACACTGTCCAACTCACAACATGAGAAGGAATGTGCGCAACACTCACCTGAAAGGATAACCAAAGTCGATGCCGATGTTCAGATCGCTGCTGGCCTTCTCCATGCAGTCCACACTGACCCTGAGCTGCCCTGAGTAGCCACCGCATGTGGCGAAAGCGAAAATGGCAAAGAGCTGCAGAAACACACCTCAACATGTAAGAAACACTGACCAAAGCAGCAGATCAAAGGCTGAGAAAGCATATAAAGAAGTAAATCCTTGGAGAAAACCAGCTAGATGTTGCTAAGGACAATGCTAGAGGTTCACGTTACAGCAGGAGAGAAGCGATTCAACGTGAAGTCAGAACTACAGTGGGATAGCTGAGATCAAAGCAGCATATTGATGTGGTACAACAGCCTAGTCAAAGACAAAGCTCAGTCCAACTGAGAATCCATGGCAAACTTGAAAATTGCCGTTTACAGATAATCCACATCTGGTCTAAATAAGATAGAACTAATTTGGTGAGATAAAAGGGAAAACCCTGGGTCTCTACATGCCACTGCACCGTCACAAGTGATTAAGAAGACATATGAATGCTTTTGAAAGGCACTGTCTGCAAAAAAAAAAGTTAGGTTGAAACGTCTGTTTCTGATACTTTAGGCATTTCAGGAAACGTACAAAGAAAACAAAATAATTTAATAGATTTTATCTCAGGAGTCCTTAGGAAGGTTTTTTAGATGTGGATTAAAGTTGCATTGGAGGTGTGAACAGGAGAACAAACCAACGCTCAATTTATCTCCTCTAAGCAGAGACTTGTGAACTGCTTCACAATGGTAAAACTGAAGGGCAAAGGCCAATTGTCAAAGTCAGTGAAATGAACAGGGCCTTCATCTAAATTAACAAACATGAACATGCAACAAACACGCACGCACGCACGCACGCACGCACGCACGCACGCACGCACACACACACACACTCATTTCCTGCCCTCAGTTTGCTCTCTTAGCCTAGTTGCCCATATAAGCCCCCCACTGCCTCAAGAGTTCTCAAAGCCATAATCACCATAATCAGAGCTGATGCCCGGTTTGCTCCTTTCCCATGTCGTAGGCAGCTGGACGTGCAGCTTGCCAACAGCTGGCAACGCTGTTTATCTCTCAGTCTGAGTGAATCTGAGCCACAGGAGGGCGCTGTTGGATAACTGACAGGAAGCGGCTATGCTCAACCGTATGCCTGCCATCTCAGAGACAGAACTTAAACACAGAGTCAGTATCGCTTCATACCTATTGAGTTAAACATTGAATGCTTAGTTGATCCTCTGCAAGTGTACCAGGCCCAAGACTAAAACACCAGGAACCACAGAGCGACCATATCAGACCTATAGCAGGTGGCGTTCAACGCTGGCACAGCTCAGGATCTAGACGGTAAAATATAGCAGTGAATTAAGCAGAAAGCTGCTGGATTCATGCCTTGAATCACTATGCAATCATAAGACATAAGTGAGTGTATCCATATTGAAACCACGAGGTTCTCAAATCTATCTTGTTGACTGTTAAAATTGGCAAAGAGGTATTTTTCCCTTTGCCCCATAAGTCTGTTTTACCTACATTAGTGTCCTGTTAACTAGAGTTGCTTATTACTTCATTTCCATTGTAGTGGAAAAGGTATTTGTTACCCTACAGATTTCTTATGTTTTTGCTTTTTCTAAAATCACACTTGAATGTTTCTTTTCTTTTTTTTTTTTTATTCAAATGATTAATAAAATTGCTCCAGAAACATGATATAGTGGTTGTGTTATGCATAATCCAAGTGCGCTTGAGCCTTATGTCATATGCTGATTCAACTTCAAGATTTTCTGGTGGGCCGTTTTTTTTTTATGAGTAAGTAGAAAACTTTCCTAAAAGTTCCTAAAAGTTGGGAACAACACCCCAATTCCTATCGAAGCCATTTAACATCGGGCATTTTAAAAGTTTCACGACAACGTGAGCTTCAACAAGTTTCTCTGGGATCTTGGAAAAGAAACAGGCCCACAGCATTACATATCAATACTTTCAAGAGGGCAAGAGGTGATTTTTTTAAAATTTATTTAGACACCTAAATTATGTCAAGGTGTGTCTTTAAAGCTGCACTTATCGCTTTTACAAAAATATGTTCCTTAAATATTTGTTAAGACTGTCACCATGTCGTGACAGCATAGTACGCGACAGGTAATCAGTGAAAAGATTGATCTCTTCCACCTCCTCCCTGAGCCACTGCTAGCAAAGGGGAGCATGTGTACACAAGGATGATTGACAGCGCTAAGACCCTCCTCTTCGCTCTGATTGGATGTTTCTGACAGAGTTGTGTATTTATGTTAAGGACAGTAGAACAATAGGGAGGAGGTGGAGGAGTTGGATTACTTCACAAATTATGTCTCATGTTATACATAGTGACAGTTTTAACAAATATGTCAAAAAACGTTTATTTAATAAAAGTTACATACTGCAGCTTTGACTCAATAATCCTGTTTTTGCTAGCTTAAAACTCAGTCGGCTTTTCAAATGACCACCAGCTAATGATCGGAGGAGCTTTCAAAGGAGGTAAACATGAGTGTGCCGTGTCGTAGGCATAATCTCTGATTAAAGCAGCCCAGATTAATGCCAAAATATTAATAATAAACAACAGACTCTCATTAGGGTTTGTTGCCTGCAGCTTTGGGCCTCAGGTGGAGCCGGGATGCCACATACATTGAGCACAGCTGGAACATCTGCATAAAAACCTCCAGACTGATGTGGTTTGTTTACCCACAGAGACGAGTGAATGACGGCGCGACTGAAATCTCCCAACGAAGGAGCCGAAAGACGATGCACATGGAGACAAATCAAATCCAGGAAAGTGACCAGAAGAGCGACGGGAACAAACGCTACCGTTTAATTAACCACAAAGAGCCGCAGATAAGCATCTCTTTCACGCTCTCTTTCTGCTGCCTCGTCCTTACTGTGATTTTTCTTTTTTTTTTTTCAGCTCGGGTTTTAGCCCCTCTCATTTCTTAGCCGGGTCCTTTGAACAGGAGAGCGTGGCATTGTGGAAGGAGGATGGATGCTAAGCCTCGCACCCCCGTGTGTTTATCTGCCTCTCCCAGCTGGGCTCCTCAGGGAACAAGAGATAGAAGGAGAGAGAAAAAAAAGGGGGGGGGGGGTGGAGGTAGAAGAGGGAAGCTAAGGGGAGAAATAGATACAGTGGAAGGGGCGAATAAAGCGCGAGCGCAGGAATTAAACCGGTCTGCAGTGTAAACAAAGCTACGAAACATCTCAGTCATCCCTCATCTCTACTGACCTACATGGCACCCAAACGCTCCAGTCTAATGTGAAAGTTATGATTTGATTTCATGGCAAATCAACGACCTGAAATATATATGTATATAAAGAAAATACACATGCACGCACACACACACTCACGCAACCGGGTGATGGTGTCTGCAGATTTTAATAAGCGGACAAAGATTTTTTTCTAATAATTGAGCTCGTGCAAATTGGGAAGCTCCAAATGAGACTCCAGTCAGTTGAAAAGGACGCATCAGGCACGGACTTGGCCACCAGCGGTCAGAGTCAATGTCTGCCGCCCTAAAATTGTTGCTGAGCTGGACAGAAGCGAGTGCTGCATTGGTTTGAATCATGTATAGAAATGTGTGTGTGTGTGTGTGTGTGTGTGTGTGTGCGTGTGTGTGCATATATTACGTTTAGCAGACCACTTTTAGCATAGTCTGCTAAAAATGTACATTCATTGAGTTTTATTGGAAATTACTTTTTCTTCTACCCCTTTAGAAGAAGGACGTAGTTTATAAAGTTGCAAAAGAAAACGTCTTCAGTAAAAAGCTGTGTGATCAATGCTACACTGGCAGACAATAGTTAAAAACAGGTAACTCATTTAAAAGCAGCTAATCCTTTCCTGCAAAGGAAGCTCTTTGTCAGAAGCACAGACTGATCTTGCCTCCGTCTCTTTTCTCCACTCGGCTCTAACGTTGACTGACCACAAGAAAGAGGACATTTATTTTAGTAACTGGGCCTTCAGTGTCAAAGAACAGTCACTACCCATGTCTCAATAAAGCTGCAAGTGAACATTTTTCTGCATTTATATCAGTTTGATAAATACAAAAAAAATTTGGTTGCATCTGTGTCCTTTGGACTGCAATTTTTATCTTAGCATTTCATTGTATATTCTACAAAGTTAATAGAAGTCAGCAGTATAAATAAAACTCAGAAAATAAAAGTAAAACAAAAAAAATAATAATTATGAAAAAGGCTGCATTAACTACTAGTTCCATTAAGTAACTGTTGGATCTGCAAATATCATAAATTTATTTGATCACCATCCTCACACAGGGACTAATTCTTATTTTTATGCAATGATAAAAGATGTGATAATCACTAATTCCTCGTGCAAACCAGAGTCTCTTAAGGAAACTATATAATTCAATATAATTCAGCTTATTTGCATAGCACTGACAAATGTTGTCTCAAGGCACTTTACAAAAAATAAAAACAACTTATATAGAAACAAATAGTCAAAAATAAATTCAAAGTCAACATCCATTCTGTTTAAGAAGTTGTGCAATCAGGTTTCGCTTATTATGTCAGCTGGATTTTTTTTTTTTAATCTAAGGAAACCAAGCTGATTGCACCGAGTCAATGATTTTGCAGCAATCCCCCCTACTGTCCATTTTAGCGCTACATAGAGTAACAGTGGGCAGTTCCTTGGATGGTGAAAGCAATCCCTCATTACTAAGCATGCGCATCATCAATATAACACATTTGTGTTATTCTATTTTTCTGGGATGTAAATGATTGATCTGTGGAACACCACATTTCTTTATGGTCTTTCTTGCGTATTTAAAGAACGAACAGCAGTGCTCTCTCTTGAACTGTGTGGGATACGTCTTGTCGAGAGACAACAGGCAACCTTTTTCTGTCTGACACAAAGAGGAAGTAGCATCCTCTGAGGGTCAAAGGCGAGGTAAAGGCCCATCAAAGACCTAAAGTGTCGGGAAAGAGAACATCTTAGATTACTCATATAACGCATGTGCATGTAACGTTTATCTGATTTTTAATAAACTAAAAACAGAGTCTATCAAGGAACATACCTGGATGTAATAGTTAGGAAAAAAAACAGTGAGCTTTCAGTTTTGATTCATTTAAATCTAAATCTGATTATTCTGTATT